TTTCCGATATACGTTCCTCCCCCTTAGGCTCTATTCTCCTCTCCTCTCTCCCTCTCTCTCTCTCTCTCTCTCTCTCTCTCTCTCTCTCTCTCTCTCTCTCTCTCTCTCTCTCTCTCTCTCTCTCTCTCTCTCTCTCTCTCTCGCTCCCTCTCTTTTCCCGCATCCTAAGGTTTCGTGTTCCCTATGACCCCCACAATCTGACACGGGCCGTCGTGGTACGGTAAGTCACGTATGCATAGTATCCTGTTTATATACCTACATACACGCAAGCAAGCGAGCTTATCACACACATACATACCCACATACATATGTACAAGTATTGCCCCTCTCCTCATGTATGTATGTATGTATGTATGTATGTATGTATGTATGTATGTATGTATGTATGTATGTATGTAACACACACACACACACACACACACACACACACACACACACACACACACACACACACACACACACACACACACACACACACACACACACACACACACACTTGGACATTGCAAACACTGCAGGACAATGGTTGATCAACATCCCGGAAAGAGAGGGAGAGAAAGAAAGAAAGAGAGAGAAAGGGAGGGAGGGCGAGAGCAAGAGCAAAAAGAGAGGAAGTGTGTATCCCTTGCAAATTACGCAAGGGGGGGGGGCTGTAGCAGGTGGGATTGCCACGCTAAAGAGAGAGAGAGAGAGAGAGAGAGAGAGAGAGAGAGAGAGAGAGAGAGAGAGAGAGAGAGAGAGAGAGAGAGAGAGAGAGAGAGAGTGTGTGTGTGTGTGTGCGGGTGTGTGTGTGTGTGTGTGTGTGTGTGTGTGTGTGTGTGTGTGTGTGTGTGTGTGTGTGTGTGTGTGTGTGTGTGTGTGTGTGCGCGTGCGCGTTTGGGTGTGTGCACGTGTGCGTGCGCGCGTGAAGACATAAATATATAGTAGAGAAGACTTTATCCATCGCCCTCACCCCTAAAAAAGGAACGCTATCAGTGACGAATCACTAAAGTCAAAAATATAGTTTGAAGAGAAATTCCCAGCCTGCCTCCCTACCCCCCCCCCCCATCGCATCCACGAGCCTCGCATCGTAATGGACGTGACAGTAATTGAGACCCATGATCTGGCATCCTCACCCTCTCCCTGGCACCTACGCGCGCGCGCACACACGCACACAATATACCATCGCCTCTGCACCCTTTGGGCATGCCTTCTGCAACCCCAAGCCAAACCAAACCAACTACTCAAACCTGGCACCTGGCACTACCATCCGGTCACTATACTCTTACAGATATACGTTTTACATAAACAACTGGTATATGATGATAAGCCCATTAACAATAACTGCCAATAATTTATCTAGACGTCTTCGGCCGTAAAAATACGAAAATAACTACAAATAATGACGACACAGTGCCACCCTTCCCCTCGTCCCTTTCCTCTCAATCAGGCAGCCGACAGGATTATCAACACCCCCTCACTTTCGCCACTCCTCCTCCTCCCCTGCCACCCCCGGGTCGGTCCCCTGCCTCCCGTCCCCTCCCACCCCACTGCCCCGTTTTTCTCCTGATGCCACGATAAACAAATCCACGCGGCTTCCAACGTCATCAAGTCACAAACATGTAGAGACCCTTGCCCCCTCCCCTCCCTCCCCCTCGCCTTGCCACCCTTACCACCCTCCCAGCCCGTACTTTGCTTCTTCTCCCCCTCCTCTCCTGCCCCCACCCCTCCCTTCTCCCTACCTGACCTGGTCACGTGACTTAGTCACCATGTTAGCGCACGGGGGGAGGGTGGAGTAAGGGTGAGGGGGCGGCGGCCAGGGAGGGGGTCCCCCACGAACCACAGAATGGAGATAAGAGTCCGCGCCGCCTAACCCTCCCCCTTCCCCCTCCTCCCTTCCCTCCACCTCTCTCTTTCTCAGCGGTTTTATCACGCTTTAGAGATAAGGTGATATATCCCTTCACTTGTCGTTCTTATCATCCCCCCTTCGTGGTACAGAGGGAGGAGGTGGCGGCTTGGGAAAAGACGGGAAAAATGCATGCAGGGAATAAGGGAACGAGGGAAGGAGGGGAGACAGGGGAACGAAAGGGCGGAAGGAGTGAAAAAAAGGAAGAAAGTTAGGTCGAGCCAGGAAGAGGAGAAAAGTCTGAGTGGATATCGAGAATAATCCTGAAAGACAAACAAAATATCAAACCCCGGCTGGCCTTAAGCAATACATATGAAGTTATATAAAAATGAGACATCCACTCAGATCCATTCAAAAAAACATACATCAAAATCACACACTAGGACAACAAGCAAGAGCAGCCAAAATGAATACACGCATAAATAAAAACGGTTGTACAACATAAGAACTAGGAGGAGGAGGAGGAGGAGGAGGAGGAGGAGGAGGAGGAGGAGGAGGAAGAGGAGGAGGAGGAGGAGAAGGAGAAGAAAACTAAGAAAAAAAAACTAAAGGTTGAACACAAGTCCCAAGGTGCTAGAAGAATTGTAGCTAAAGTCAAAGCCTTGGTGCACTCAC